TTTTTTTCTAATGACTTTTTTTCTCAATGCATTGCTTACCTTTTGAAAGGCATCTTTCACTATCCCCGAATTTTACCTACCCAACTTTCCGTCCTCTGTTAAAACACTTCACATATATTTAAACAGTTGTACTTGTTTGATTTTGGTATCTCCAATTTATAATTTGCATTTTGGGCTCTTCCTTTTGCTGATAACAATGAATTCTGTCTTCTTGCGATTGATGTTTAGTCCTTTCTTCTTGCTTTCCTTCACTAAATTCTGTAGAAGTTCTTGTAGTTACGTTTCTCTCTCTACTATCAGCACTAATTCATCTATATATCTTATGTTGTTAAGATGGAATGAATATTAATAATGAAACTTATGAGGACTTCTGTTTCTTTTAGAATAACTTTATAGGTTGAATAAGCTTATAAATTCAATTGTAATGAATTGAATTTATAAGCTTGGCTATGGAGGTCATGCAACATATTTTCCGATGGAACTTGTATCTATTTACACCTGTTTTTGTAGGCATTGCTATGGTGATAAATGTACTGAGTTTTTGGGGGGGGTTTTTTTGGTATGACGATTATGCTCTATATTTCTTTTTTTTTTATTTTAGTTCAGCAATCATGTCGGCGATGAAATTGTCTAAGGCTGAGAGTATTTCTATTCGCACCCTATCAGGTCCCACTCTTCTGCTTCTGTTCATCTTAATTAATGCCGATATTACCCCAGAAGATGAATATTCCAAGTCATTCTATGTTTTTATGTATTGTTAGCTTCTCCCTTCTGGTTTTGTGAAAGTTTTAAGAGAATCTTTTTTTATCAATTAAACTTGTCCGAATTCTGAGACATTTAGATGAAAGAACTCTTTAATGTGGTCCAATGACCTTACAGTGGAAGTCTTTCACCCGGGTATTCGTTGTTTGGCACCAAAATTAAGCGAGTTGGCTGGCAAAGTCAGTTGTTATACTGAAGTTATTTTGAAGTAATTTTTAAATTCTTCTAAGTAAGCCTTTATGTTTTTGCCGTTTTAGCCAATGACCAAATCACTAAAATTAAAATAAAACCTTTTTTTTGTTTACTATAAAACTTAATTGGTCTTTCTGTTGTTCTCTTTACTTACCTTTTACTCTTTATGTCAATTCTTTAGCAGCACACGTGACAGAAAACTTCACTGATACATACGTTCCAAAAGAGTACAAAAAAAAATCCGTATTGCATTTACATTTGATACCATGTTCATAACACCTAGTACGGGGAAGTACTGGAATGTTTTCAGCAGAAGCCACATCACAAAATTTATCTTAATATTTTTATTTTTATTTATATATCAATTTATCTTGAGTATCCCACATTGTTTCAGCACGTTGGGATATCTAAGGATAAGAGGCGGCTATAAATCACATTGTAGCAATGCTCATTAGTCAATGACTGTGTTCGAGAATTAAAACATTTCTAATACTAAAAAATTAACATCACAATCCGAATGAATGCCTATTATGTATGATCATGAACCGTTCTAAACTTCGTGTGGTTGCTTTAATTTCGGGTGAAAATAAAAACAAAAATTTTCTAACATTTGAATATTTTTTATTATGCTGTTCCTTGATCTAAGCATTCGGCTCACATGAGCCGTCTACGAAGTGGTTATACGGACATTTAAACAATGATATTCACCATCAAAGACCAAACTCAAAATTACATTTTAAACTAGTCACAACACATTACACTGCATCTAGTCATATGGTTCTGTTTTTAATATTTCGGTCTCTCACGTGGTATGACGTAAAGAAACGCATCATGAATTTACGATCTGCCTCTAATATTCCCTGTGAGTTATCGTCGCATAGCAATCTTCTATGTCACCATAACAGAATATCCTTTGATAATGAAGCATTAATAAAAGCGAAACATGTTAGATCTGTAAAGGTTCCATACTTGTTCCTTATTTATATAGGAATATAGGACACCCATGGCTTAAATACATCAAATTTGTAAGCTGTCAATATACCTTATAACACGCTCGAACGCTTAGCTTTTGAGTGGGTAGAGTGGAGATCAACGTGTTTTAGTGGTCTCAGCGGTTTTCAGTCTGCTAGTTTGAATCAGCTTCAAGAAGCGAGAGCAAGATCTAAAAGGTCAGATAATTTAACAGTGACCTCATCCTCACTCTTGTTCCATATGCGACCTCCTTTGCAAATCACTTAAGATTATCGCACAAAATTCATAACTGAATCAATTGGTTATGTTGTCATATCCTCATACGTTGAAACCGAGGGGAGAGTCCATATATATATATATATATATATATATATATATATATGTGTGTGTGTGTGTGTGTTGTAGTACTAGTAGTAGTAGTAGTAGGGTGCGATGGATAAATTGTCGTCTAAATTACCCAAAAATGAAAATCGCAATGATATCTCAGTTTAAGAAATATATTTACCAAAATTACATAAAAATATATTGAAATAAAGATTAAATGCGTCCAATAAAATCGCCATTGGCTTTAACCACAGCCTCCAGTCGAATTTGGTATGTCCTGCAACTCTTCTCGACGGTCTCTTTGTTTAAGTTGGTGAATGTTGCCATAATTTTTGCCTTCAGTTCATTCTTGGTGTTACAAGGAGTTTTTTTTTTTTTTTTTTTTTTTGCAATTTCGTTCAACTGCGCCCCACACATAATAATCTGTGTAATCCTCCTCCTCATCATCATCATCAGCAGCAGCAGCAGCAAATTCATATATAGATCTAGACAATTATTTTGACAATCTTCTGGCATTTGCGTAAAATCTTTGATTATCTGATCTGGGTTATAGTCTTGGGAGTTAGGTAGCCAGATGTAAGCAGTGATCTGGTTAAAGAGATGGTCTGATATTTATGAATATGTTCTCCTCCTTGTGTGGCATGGTACAGAGTCCTGTTGCTAGACATAGGGTCTTCCATCAGCCACCCTTTTGATCCAGAACAGCAATACCTCCTCAAGTCACTTGATTTAAGCCTCCGTGTTGAATCTGAGGTTCTCACCAACAAATCCGGAAATTCTTTTCTTATCAAAATTAGCAGAGTGATTTTTCCTAACTGGATTTAACTAATTGGATTTTTCCTAATCACCACTTGAATCATCCAACTCTTTCCGAATCCTCGGCACTGACATCAGATTGACAACCAAACACTCTGAAATGTTCGCATTGAAGCTTCCGGTGGGAATGCCAAGGAGGACAGTACACCGTTTCCAAATTTCTGGCAGAGTGAATTGCGTCATATTTCTCTTTTTCTCAAAGATTGTGCCCAACTGACTCTTATACTGTGCAGTGAAACAAAATCAAGAACAATGCGCAATTTACCTATCGCACACACGTTATATATATATATATATATATATATATATATATATATATATATATAGATAGATAGATAGATAGATAGATAGATAGATATAAATTCCCAAGAGGATAGAATCCAGGTAGAACTCAATTTCCAGGACAGAGTAAGAATAGTATAAAAGGCTCAAACACAAATATTCCTGGTGATAATTTATTACATTGGAATCGTAATCACGATCCAAATCATCAGACCTACAAATTCAAAAAAGAAATCGGAAAATAGTGCTTGAGCCTTATATATATATATATATATATATATATATATATATATATATATATATATATATATATATATATATATATATATGAATTTAAACTATATATAATAAATAACCAAATAACATAATTTGGTGAGCCAGGGAAGGTTAGTTATTCGATCGGAGAACTTTAAACTATAACCATATCTATGTAATCATCATTATTATCAGCAGCAGCAGCAGCAGCAATCCAATGACCGGATATAGTCGTAGGGTCACTGCACAGCTGTACACCGCCACAGATCCCTCAACATGTTTCAATTGCATCAGTGTCTAGGTTTAAATTTGGCGTGATGTACATTCATGCAAGAGTGTCTTGGGCAAACTGATCTAGCAGAGCCCATCCTCCTCCAGGTTAATATATTTTTATATATATGTATTGTCCGGTTCACACTCCTCTCCGGTATTTGAATAGGAGGACTGGTTCATCCCTTGTTTCCTGCTTAGGAGGATTGGGTTTCCGGTTCCTTCTAAAGTCTACTTTAACTCTATACTCTTAATGTCTCCGCCTGAACTCTGAAATTTTATTCACTAATTAAATATTGATCATATCTAGAATCAGCTATCCTGCCCTTTCTTACGCTAATACAACTCCACATAGTAATCCTTTATCTTGAGTGACCTTTGGACCTTCTATTGAGTGGACATTGGTAAAGGAAGGAAGAAAGAAAGAAAGAAAGAAAGAAAGAAAGAAAGAAAGAAAGAAAGAAAGAAAGAAAGAAGATTGTAAAAAACCATTGTGAAAAATTTTAACTGTCATCAAATTCATATATAGTTCTGGCCAGTTATTTTAACAATCTTCTCACATTTGCGTAAAATCTTTGATTATCTGATGTGACTGATTTAGTGAAGTAAATCAGTTAATGTTAAGAAAATTGAAGGAAAAATCTTAGAGAATTACATATACGAACTGGTGCTGAAAAGTTCTCATCTAGACGCACTTTCAAAAAACTGACTTAAAATTAGAATATTTTTTTTCTTTTCTTACTCGAGCCGAGAACTTTTTAGCACACCTTCGTGCAATTTAAGAATGTGTACTCCAGTAAGTAAAAAATATGATAAGAAATGCATTTAAAAAATCTCTAGTTTAATTTTTATGCGTGTATGCATATATGTATGGTTGTGTGTATGTCTGTGCATACGTGTGTATATATATATATATATATATATATATATATATATATATATATATATATATATATATATATATATGTATGTATATATATATATATATATATATATAAAATACTTTTATTATTAGATGCATGTTATAGTATGCTGCATGTTGCTAGTGAAATGCAAATGTACGTATACGAAATCTAGAAAAATATCTTCTTTCCTTTCGACATAACGTCACTTGGATTCTTCCTTTTATGGTACCCCCTCTCTCTCTCTCTCTCTCTCTCTCTCTCTCTCTTTCTTTCTCTCTTTCTTTTCTTCCTTTCTCCCTTTCTCTCTCTCTCTCTGTATTTCTCTTTCTCTCTGTCTTTATCCATGTGTGTCTCTGTCTCTGTCTCTATCTCTGTCTCTGTCTCTGTCTCTCTCTAACACTATCGGCGCTTACGCGCGTGGTCCAGTCTATGAATGTGTGCAAAGAACAAATCAGTTTATCGACCTACAGAGAAAATAATTTACAGTTTCAGAAATCCGTGTGATTATCGATCGCAATAAGACGAACTGCTAATAAATGCGTTTTGTTATATATAATCCCATTCGACGAACAAGTTGATTCTGTTGTCGAATGTGCTAGAAATGACGACGACGACGACGACGACGACGATGACGACGACGACGATGACGACGACGACGATGACGACGACGACTGGAGTGGTCGTTTTGAACAATGTGAAAATTGATTATGGTCGTGGTGATGATGAAACGAAATGTGAATGATGGCGTATATATTTTTGCGGCGCTTATTGTGACGATGAAGAAAAGACAATGATGTAAGAAAACGTTGTTGATTGTGAATATATGGACGTCATTAACAAAAATTTATAAATTTGTTGTTGTACATGTCCGTCTTAAGATACTATGAAGATGATGGCTAAGAGAAGTATAGTAAGGTCGATAGTAATAATGAATAGTGTTAATGAGGATAGTTGAATCAGTAGTGATAATGAAGACAGTTACATAGATAATAATGATTGTTGATAAGGAAAATAGTTGTACAGACAATAATCAGTTTTGATTATGAATATAGTTGCATAAATAATACTAAGTTAAGATAATGAAGATAAATGGTTAGATAATAATCAGTTTTGATAATGAAGATATTTACATAAACAATTATGGATAGTGATAATGAAGATAATTACTTAGGTAATCAGTTTTGATAATGAAGATAGTTTCATAAATAATAATGAGTTGGAATAATAAAGATAATTCCTTAGATAATAATCAGTTTTGATAATGAAGATAGTTGCATAAATATAATGAGTTGGAATAATGAAGATAATTACTTAGATAATAATCAGTTTTGATAAGGAAGATAGTTTCATAAATAATAACGAGTTTGAATAATAAAGATAGTTGCATCGATAAAAATGATTAGTAATAATAGTTTCATAAATAATAAGGATTAGTGATAATGAAGATATTTGCTTCGATAAAAATCAGCTTTGATAATGATGATAGTCACACAGATATACATAAACATGATAATATTAGAGAAATAATGTAACCATAATGATTATAGTAATGATAATAATAATATTATTATGACAATAATGCTAATGATAATTGTTATTATCATTAATAAGATATTTTTCTAAATAAAAATTTATCTCTTCTAAACCTTCCTCCGCCATTTATTTACTCAAACTCATTAAGTATGTTATCCGTTGTTTCCCTCTGCCCCCCCTTGCCTTCAATATGCCCTGTGTGTAACACATTTTCTAACCCTTCTTTCCTCATTAGGTGCCCTAGAAATTTCAATTGTTAAGTATAAGTGTCATTTTGATTTCATTTTCTTTAAAACTTTGTCATATCTTCAGTCCATGGTATTCTTGCCATCCTTCTGTAGAACCGTATTTTTGTTGCTTCAATTTTTTTCATTTGTGAGGAGTTTTTCCATCATTCACTGACATATTATATAACAATTAAGTACACTTTTCTTTGTTTCTAATGAAATTTTCCTGATATTTTGCTTAGTTTTTGGAAGGCATCTTTCGCTATATCAATGCGCCTTGGGATCTCAGTGTCGCACTCTCCGTCCTCTGTTAAAACACTTCCCAGATATTTAAATTGTTGTAGTTGTTTGATTTCGGTATCTCCAATTTGTAATTTGCATGTTGGGATGTTGCTTTCTGCTGACCATGCATTCTATCTTCTTGTCCTTTCTTCTTTGGCGTCCTGGGTAAGACGTTAAACTATGTCCAGCAGCAAGGCCTCTGATCAGGAGGTTTTGAGGAACGGGGAACCACCTCTTAATTGTTGGTGTTCCCAGGTTCACCATGATCCGGGGTTTTAGCACCTGTTAGGGTCACAGCTATGGACAAATACTTAACTATTACCAGCAAAACTTTTTTTGAAAAAATTATTACCAGCAATAAAATTTTGAAGGAAATATATTACCAGAAACCGATTTTTTGACTAAACAAAATATTACCAGCAATAAAAAAATTTTGTCAGCATTAAATAACCCATTGAGGTTGATATGCCGCAAAACAAAATAAAACAAAATAAACCAAACCAATCTAAACCAAAGAATACATGTTCTATTCATACGAATCTATCCTAAAAATGTTGTCGGCATTAAATAAACCCATTGAGGTTGATATGCCGTAAAATAAAATAAAACAAACCAATCTAAACCAAAGAATACATATTCTATTCATACGAATCTACCCAAAAAATGTTGTCGGCATTAAATAAGCCATTGGGATTGATATGCCGTAAAACAAAATAAACCAAACTAATCTAAACCAAAGAATACATACTCTATTCATACGAATCTATCCTAAAAATGTTGTTGGCATTAAATAAACCATTGAGGTTGATATGCCATAAAACAAAATAAACCAAACCAAAGAATACATTTTCTATTCATTCGAATCTATCCTAAAAATGTTGTCGGCATTAAATAACCTATTGAGATTGATATGCCGTAAAACAAAATAAACCAAAACTAAACCAAACCTTTCTTCTTTGCTATTCTTCAATACCTTCTGTAGGAGTTCTTGTACTTTCCTTTCTGTGTATTTATTGCAAATATATTCATTAAAAAAAATTCTACCAATCTTCTTTCAATTACTATCATTGCTTTTTTTATATAAGAAAGAAATTTATCTTTAATACTGACATCAACTACTATATTTCTAAGAACTAACATTATAATATTGTATGATATATTCGCGTAGATAAATAGACATAACCTTTTTTTAAACGCTCTTTTCTACTATTATCAATTAGATTGCAATTGTCAGTTATATACCATGTGTGATACCAGCTTAGGCGATCACGACGCTTTCAATACATGACTGACGAGGTACTAGGCTGCCATTTCTTTCTGCTGTTGACCAGTTGCCATGCAAGGCTATTGAACCCAGAACTGGAAGAAGAGGATTAATACCTTTCCCAAGGGTATTAGTAATGGATTCGACTAGAATTTGAACTCGGCTCTCCGATTCTTCAATCCGATAACCATGACGCCACCGTACTATAAATAACACATTTCGAAAAAGAACTACTAAACATTTTTCCACATTCAATTTTTATTTCTCTCTCTTCTCTCTCTCATTTTTCTCTCTATATCTTTCTCTTTCGCTCACTCTTTTTCTCTCTATCTCGCTATTTCTCTTTCTACCTCTCCCCCTCTCTCTCTCTATCGCTATCTCAATCTATCTATCTATCTATCTATCTATCTATCTATCTATCTATCTATCTAGATATATCCATTTTTATTCATTTTTCTTGATATTTGCTTATTCATGTTTGTATCATTCTGCCTTATTCTCTCTCTATCTATCTATCTCTCCAGATATATCATTTTTTTTCATTTTTCTTGATATTTGTTTATTCATGTTTGTATCATTCTGCCTTATTTTCTCTCTAACTCTCTCTCTCTCTCTCTATCTATCTATCTATCTATCTATCTATCTATCTATCTCTCCAGTTATATCCATTTTTTTCATTTTTCGTGATATTTGCTTATTGATGTTTGTATCATTCTGCCTTATTCTCTCTCTCTCTATTTATCTATCTCTCCAGATATATTCTTTTTTCTTTCATTTTTCGCGATATCTGCTAATTCATGTTTGTATCATTCTGCCTTATTCTATCTATCTATCTATCTATCTATCTATCTATCTATCTATCTATCTCTCCAGATATATCCATTTTTTTCATTTTTCTTGATATTTGCTTATTCATGTTTGTATCATTCGGCCTTATACTCTCTCTCTCTCTCTCTATCTATCTATCTACCTACCTATCTAGATATATCCTATTTTTCATTTTTCGTGATATTTGCTTATTGATGTTTGTAACATTCTGCCTTATTCTCTATCTATCTATCTATCTATCTATCTATCTATCTATCTATCTATCTATCTATCTATCTCTCCAGATATATCCTTTTTTTTCATTTTTCTTGATATTTGCTCATTCATGTTTGTATCATTCTGCCTTATTCTATCTATCTATCTATCTATCTATCTATCTATCTATCTATCTATCTATCTATCTCTCCAGATATATCCATTTTTTTTCATTTTTCTTGATATTTGCTTATTCGTGTTTGTATCATTCGGCCTTATACTCTATCTATCTCTCCAGATATATCCTTTTTTTCATTTTTCGTGATATTTGCTTATTCATGTTGGTATCATTCTGCCTTATTCTCTCTCTCTCTCTCTCTCTCTCTCTATCTATCTATCTATCTATCTATCTATCTATCTATCTATCTATCTCTCTATCTATCTATCTATCTATTTCTCCAGATATATCCATTTTTGTTCATTTTTCTTGATATTTGTTTATTCATGTTTGTATCATTCTGCCTTATTCTCTCTCTTTCTCTCTCTCTCTCTCTCTCTGTCTCTGTCTCGCTCTCTCTCTATCTATCTATCTTTCTATCTCTCCAGATATATCCATTTTTTTCATCTTTCGTGATATTTGCTTATTCATGTTTGTATCATTCTGCCTTATTCTCTCTCTCTCTATCTATCTATGTCTCCAGATATATCCATTTTTTTTTTCATTTTTCTTGATATTTGCTTATTCGTGTTTGTATCATTCGGCCTTATACTCTCTCTCTTTCTCTCTCTCTCTCTCTCTCTCTCTATCTATCTATCTATCTATCTATCTATTTCTCCAGATATATCCATTTTTTTTCATTTTTCTTGATATTTGTTTATTCATGTTTGTATCATTCTGCCTTATTCTCTCTCTCTATCTATCTATCTATCTATCTATCTCTCCAGATATATCCATTTTTTTTTTCATTTTTTTTATATTTGCTTATTCATGTTTGTATCATTCTGCCTTATTCTCTCTCTCTCTCTCTCTCTCTCTCTCTCTCTCTGTCTCGCTCTCTATCTATCTATCTATCTATCTTTCTATCTCTCCAGATATATCCATTTTTTTTTCATTTTTCTTGATATTTGCTTTATTCATGTTTCTATCATTCTGCCTTATTCTCTCTCTCTCTATCTATCAATCTATCTATCTATCAATCTCTCCAGATATATCCATTTTTTTTCATTTTTCTTGATATTTGCTTATTCGTGTTTGTATCATTCTGCCTTTCTTTCGTCTAGCTTTTATGCCAACATCAGTGTTTCCTTACGGTTACAAAAATTATCATTAGTCCTAAATATATCAGCTTCTCACTGTCCATTGCTACATCATCCTGCCTACTGACTGGTCTATTTGAGATTTATTAATGACCTGTTTATACCCGCTGTTAACGTTCGCTAGCAACGGAGAATGACCGCTGTCTCGCCATTGAACTGTCAGTAAATGTAGTCGAGATGACCCCAAAATTCGTCATCTTGTCTTCCTTTTGACCACTACTGACCTAAGTTCCATTGATTTGGGGAAAAGATGGTGACGGGGTGGCTGCATGGATTACAGCTGGTAGGGGTTCAGTTATGATCCGATATGACTCCATATCCGCTTGCGATTAAATGTGGTAAATCACCTGACGCTTCAAGACTTCTAAGTTTACTCGTCCTCTGTCCATCGATCCGTCCGTCCGTATCAGTGGAATGGTAAGTTCATTGGACTGACATCAGTAAGGCCATACTTTATCTTACTTGTTGAATTGTAGCAAAGATCCTTCTTTATTAATATTATTATTGTTGTTGTTGTTACTTTGGTGTTGCATATTAACGTCATCAATAGAAATTCTATGACTCCTCACAACTCAAAAACTTTTCGGAGAATCTTCGCAGAATAAATGATAGCAGTTTTCTGGTGGTCTACAATCTTGATCTCAATTTCAGTTCTCCCTAATCGCTTTTTCATTATTATTATTATTATTATTATTATTATTATTATTATTATTATTATTAATGTCGGCTTTACGGCTATATCACGTTGAAACTATGTTTATTTTCTGTTTATGTCTGCGCGTTTACTGAATCTAACTGTTTTAGCGTGTATTGGTATCTCTTGGAGTGAATCCATTAATTATTGGTATCACCACAGATTAATTCCTCTTAGATCAAATGTTCTGTTCTTGAGGCATGGTGTCAATAAGATTTACCACCCACAATTCAAGAACATTTCGGAGTAAATGATGATTTTCTGGTGGTCTACAATCTTGATTTCAATTTCAATTCTCCCTAAGCGCTTTATTATTATTATTATTATTATTATTATTGTTGTTGTTGTTGTTGTTGTTGTTGCTGTTGTCGTCGTCGTCGTTGTTGTTGTTGTTGCTGTTGTCGTCGTCGTCGTCGTTGTTGTTGTTGTTGTTGTTGTTATTTCCTTTGATTTCTGGCGTGTACACATTTCTTTCCGGGTCCCGCCCAGGGAGCTAAGGTTAGAAATGGCATAATGACACTTTTCACTGACAAAAACAAAAAAAAAAATTACATAGATAAAGGCCTTCGTAAAGTGTGGGCTGTACTTGTCAGAACAACTTTTTGTATTTCTTTGAGGCATGGACTTCCAAGGATCCCTTCAATTAGTCTACTGCAATCTTTTCCAACCAATCCGAGGGCTCTAACTACAACAGGGATTGTTGATGTTCCCATATTGTTATTATTATTATTATTATTTGATTTGATTAGATTTGATTTGATTTCTGGTGTATACTCATTTCTTTCCGGGTCCCAACCAGAGACCTAAGGTCAGAAATGGCTTCATGGCATTTTCCACTCACACACACCTAAGATTACACATATTTTACATAGATAAAGCCCTTCGTTAGGTGTGGGCTGTACTTGTTAGTACAATTTTTATATTTCTTTAAAGCATGCGTTACCAAGAATCCCTTCA